TCATGGACTTCCTCAATAATGCCATCTTCTATCATTTTGTCTAGCTCTTGATTGATGGCTTCTACCATTTTATATGGAAAATGTCTGCATCTCTCTGAGCTACAGGAGTAACATTTTCTTTTAGAGTTATTTTTGACTATAACCCTTCACATTTCCTTGACCTTGAAAAAGGTTCATGTTTTCTTGTATCAAATTATATATATCCTTCGGAATAACTTCCTGTTGAATATTCCTTATTTTTGTTCCACGCTTTATAATTTCTAATTCGAAACTTGCTTTCTTTCCTAAAAGAGGTTCTGCTTTACCTTCAATCACAAAAATCTGTTCCTTTATAGACCTTTCACCCCATGAAACATCTGCAAAGAAATATCCACAACATGGAAGAGGTGAAGTTTGTCCATAGGCATAAAATTTCCTTTCTGTACCATTTAAAGTTGGCATTTGAGACTTAGGAAAAATATTTTTCAAATTTTCAAGTTCTATGAATGTTGTATCACTACCTGTATCAATAGTCATTGTTATTTCCTTTCCATCTATATAGATATTTTCTTTGTTATCAGAGCCTAAAAAGAAAGTGTATTCATCTGAGTCTTCATTATTTTCTGAAATATTTTGAATATTTCTTTTCTTTCCTTCAATATTTTTATATTTATTTTTATTTCTACAAACTCTATTAAGATGACCCATCTTGTTACAAAATGTGCATTTCATATTTCTAGCTCCACATTTATATGGAGGATGTGTAGTTAAGCCACATCTATAGCATTCTTCCAAATTAGGTGCACTTACCTTGGAGGTGCTTCCTTTTTGATGGTACACATTATGAGCCTTTGGTCCTTTAACAGTTGATTCATTAGCTGCTTGGAAATTATTTTTATAGTTTACTCTATTTATTGAAGTCATATCTTCATTTGTCAATACTCTAAATTCTTCTTTGGCTGTTTCAAACATTCTTGATATCTCAATTGTTCTTTGAAGATTCAAATTTTCTTGTTGCAACAACTTTTCTTTTAATTGCCTATTATAGCATTTTTCTATTATCTGATCTCTGATCATGTCTTCTTCTAAATTTCCAAATTCACAGGATTTGACTAATTCTCTTAGGGCAATGACATATGAATCAATATTTTCATCTGTATTTTGTTTTCTTTGCCTAAATTTAAATCGTTCTGATACAATATTTTTTTGTGGTGTGAAATATTTAGTTAAAGCTTCTTTTGCTTTTTCATACGTATCTTTTTCTTCTGGCAAATTAAAGAAAATTCTTTGGACTTGTGGTCCAAGGCAATGCAAAAGTGTTGCCCTTTTAACGTCATCTTTCTTTGTTGAAACACCGCTTGCTAATTCATATATTAAATATGAATTCATCCAATGTTTGTACTCGGAATACAAATCTGTAGCATTAAAAAAAAAAAAAAAAAAAAAAGGTTCAACGGTAATGGAGACGTCAAATTATTTGCCATCTTCTTTTACGCTTATTTAATTACTAGACGAATGGCCTGGGGCGCCCGGGTTTTACCCGAGTGTGCAGAGTATTAGGCTCATAGATTGTTGAGCTCTGGAAACCAAAAGGAATAATACTCTGCTAGTGATCTCTTTTGACTTGTATATAAAATAGTATTATAATATAATAGGAAATAAACTAATGCTTAGTTAATCTTGCCTCGTCTTGGATAACAACACATGGTGGCAGCGGTAAACTGAATTCATAAAGAAGGTCGTTGTTCGAAGAAAATTTGAAATTCGACATCAAGCAAGCTTAGAAGCGGTAAACTGAATTCATAAAGAAGGTCGTTGTCGAAGAAAATTTGAAATTCGACATCAAGCAAGCTTAGAAGCGGTAAACTGAATTCAAAAAGAAAGTTGTTGTTCGAAGAAAATTTGAAACTCGACATCAAGCAAACTTTTTGTCACTTTATTCCAAGACGAGGCAAGATCTCAAGGAGATGCAAGGATGACCAGGAGCAAGAGACCGAGGAGGATTGCCCTACACCAACGGCCTCATCTACAAGAGATGGAAGGATGCAGAGGGACAACCAAGACCAGGATCCAGAGAAGAGCCTCCCTTCAATGCCAGCCATGCATACAAGATATGGAAGGGCAGTCAAGATACCTCCGAGTGCGTATATATTTTAAAAACGTTTTAATTCAAATACTATTCGTTACAATTATAAATTGGCGCCATGGATGTCACTCTTGTGAAACGTCCCGTTCCAAACTGTGTGTTTTTAAAATGTTTTAATTAAAATACTATTCGTTACAATTATAAATTGGCGCCGTGGATGTCTCTCTTGTGAAACGTCCCGCCCCAAACTGTGTGTGTCTTGAAAATATAAAAATAAAAATGTGAATTTTCATAAAGATTTCATCATGTCGATTTTTTTTTTTGCATTTCACCTACTAAATCGATAGAGATAATTACATTTGCAACATGAACTTAGGTATATTGACTAAATAGAAAACTGCATAGTAATAAAGATCATTTTTTAAAGGCACCATATCGTTTTTTTTTTCAATAAAATCGAAACAAAAATTAACGATAAATAACGATAATTGCCTTAAAAAGAAATTGCCTTAAAAAAAAGAAACATTCGCGTGATTTTGTCTTGCATTCATTTATACAATTATTATTATATATGAATGACCCGGGCAACGCCCGGGTTTTACCCGATTAAATGCTTTTATTCAAATACTATTCGTGACAATTATAAATTGGCGCCGTGGATGTCATTCTTGTGACGCATTTAATTGGGTAAGACCCGGGCGTTGCCTCAGTAGAGATTATAAACACAAGGTAATAAGACCAAATCCAAATAAATAAATAGTATGTGACATTTCAATAACAGCGTTGTTACCATCTTCAGACAAAAGTACTGAATGTAGTACTTTTCTGTACTGTATATATAGTACTTTAATGAATGAAAGGAAGAAAAAATTGTTTGCAACAAGTTTCTTTGTTGCAAACAATTTTTTCTTCCTTTCATTCATTAAATTACTGATTGCAATTATTTAAGTTTTTATATATAGTACTGTTCAGTACTTTTGTCTGAAGATGATAACAACGCTGTTACCGAAATGTCACACACTATTTATTTGGATTTGGTCTTATTACATTTGATCTTATAATAAGGTACAATTTGGATTATAGATAATAAACACAAGGTAATAAGGCCAAATCCAAATAAATAATAGTGTGTGACATTTCGGTAATAGCGTTGTTACCGAAATGTCACAAACTATTTATTTATTTGGATTTGGTCTTATTAACTTGTGTTTATGATTTTACTAGACGAATGACCGGGCAACGCCCATGTTTTACCCGATTGAATGTTTTTATTCAAATACTATTTGTTACAATTATAAATTGGAACCGTGGATGTCATCACTCTTGTGAAACATCCCGCTCCAAACTTTACATGTACATTAGGTCAGCTGGTATTACCCCTCATTTCACACGCCAGAGGCGCGAG